AATTCAACATTTAAAATCAGTGTCGTGTTTTATCCACGGATACTTTGTTGTACCTCTATACTTATTTTATGCTGTTGAAAAGAGTTCTGGTTTAATCTATAATGAACTCAAATATTTTATTTTGGACGGTAGGAATAAGTGTTTTTTTTTTAGTTTAACATAGATAGCTAGGAAGTTTTAGCACCTATTTTTAAGGTCTCTCTATGAAATGATTTCTACCCGTTATATTGTCTCGGTTTCATAATAATCGGAAAGAATGATTTTAAGAAGTAGAAACGTAATGCAGAACAAAAATAGCATGGATGGATAAATATGTATTTTTTTCAATACACTGCAAACAATAATTGAGTGGTAAAGTGTATTTAATTTCTGTAAACAACATGAAAAACCTTGAGATGTATTCTATTATTAATATTTATAAAATATTTAATATTTGAAAAATTCATCAAAAGTTACCTTATGACACTTTCGTACTATTTTACAACAGAGATATTTTTTAGACCTTTTTATCATCATGCACATTATTACTATTTATTTAAAGTAGAAGCACAAGAACAACCTTTGCACAAATTGTATAAAATAATTTCATTTATTGCTGCAATTTGTCTTACATATTTGCTTAGGTTAGGCTTTAGATATCTAAGCATTCTTTGTACACTTCTGTAAAATATTATTGATCACCTAAATTTCTTTAAGATATGCTACATTATAGATATTGTTTTAGGTGTTCAAATAGTTTCAGTATCAATGTTGCATAATTCATTGAAAAAGTCTTGCACAAGTTGTTCCCAGTCAAAGATTGTTTAAAATGCTAATTTGACTGCTGATTTTAAGGGTTTCATTTAAATCCTTGAACTAATAATAATTGGCTCGATTTCTAAAAATGTTTTAAATTTGAATAACCGATCAACAATTATTCTCTATGCGGAATCTGACTGAAAACTATGCAATATTATATTTTTGCCAAAAATAAGTATTTGTAAACCCAAGATTATGTTTGAAAAGTTAGAACATTCATACCGGTACTTGAGATTTGTGACTTTGTATCATATTTTTTACTTGTAAGTGCAAACATTATTATTCCACCACACTAAAATAAGCACCCAAAAATTTACAGGGGAATTATTTGAAACTGCAAATACATCAGTTGCACTTATTAAACGCACATTGTCTTTTGCATGTAATTCATAAGATGTAAATTTAGATGAAAAATTCCTTAATACAGTTCTAAATGGAGTTGAAGATTTTAATACGTTCAGTTTGCCTAGTTACTTTTGATTATAGTGTATGTTGAATGTATAAATCTGGGAATCACAGTTTTACAAGTTTTTATCGCTAAGAACCCCTCCAAAAGTCTGGTCAAACCTCATTTGATTTTGTAGGGTTTCTCGGTCAACTGTTTCAAGTCTTTCATATTGTGAGATCTCAGAAATGTCAGTAATTTTATATTTTCTTACTGTGTATAAGAAATTGTGTATATAAAACTCGGTAGTTAAGAGTGAAGCATGAGCTTCACTTTACGTAGGTCTAGTTAATGTTAGTTACGTTCTGTTCTAACCTGACGGAAAGTGAAAATATGTAAATAAATTTACCACCCAGGAAATAGAGTGTAAGTTTCTCGAACGTCTTTGAATGGATTGTCAGTTGAACAAAAAATGCATTTTGAGTGTGTTGATGGTATTGCTAGCATTTACCTTACTGTGGTTGATTAATGATTAGTAAATTGTAAATTGTTATTGTTAGCGCAATCAGCGATGAATCAATCTTGTAAACTCATTCCCAGCTATAATTTGGTGTCTTATGTGTATTGGAGTGATTTTTAACTTTTAAGTGATTGGGGCTGGTTTTGAATACAATAAATATCACCTAAATTTATATTCAAGTTGATTACTTAAGAAATGCTACATCAATACTTGGTAACTCTTCTTGATTGATTTGTGCCTGTTAGAGTGTTAGTTGTAAGTCGACTTAAATATGTGTGTTGAATTTTAAATTATCATTAAATAGTTTTATTAGCGAATTTCCCTATAGGGAAGTAGCTATTACCGTAGGTCTCATGGTAAGACCTAAGCCCGGGACCGATTTACTTTTTCATTTTGATGTCCCCAGAGGCCAAAAACACCATTCGTTCAAATTTTTATATATCTATATATAGAGATATATATATATATATATATATATATATATATATATATATGTGTCCATCCGCACGATAACTTGAGTAATTTTTGTCCGATTTTGATAAAATTTGGTTTGAAGGTGTAAGGCGGGATAAACTTGAATGAGTTCGCGAACCAGCATGATCGGACTATGGGAACGGGGGTTTATGGGGGGTTTTATGGGGTAAAAATAGGTTTTTCTCATATTTTACCCTAAAAACACAGAATTTCACAATTTCTTTTTAAACCATTTTGTAGAGCTTAAAAAAACAAATAATTTAGTATATTGAAGCGTTATTATGCGCCTAATTGTTACGGAGAAAATTCAAAAAATTGTAATTTTAAAATTCCCATGTTATTCTTATGGAGAATAAGTCAACTGTTGTAGTTAGCTTGTTTATGAACATATTTTAATCTAATTTGGAAAATACATTAATTTCTTACTAAACCACAGTACCTTTTAATATTTTATATAAAAAAAAACTTTTTTACCCTCCCTGTTGCAGCAAACCTAAGTACTCATTAAACTAATTCTGTTTAAATAGGGAAAAAATGTGATATTTTTAATGAGACATTTTAGTTTAAATCCAATCAGGCAGATGGAAATTCGCTAAGTCTGCAGGTTTGCTGCAGCAGGGGTATTTTTATAGTTGATTACAAGTGAAATTTTACATAAATTGTATAAGGGTATAGAAATTTGTTGAACTTTTAAGTTCACTTGTCTAAAGTGTGTGCATTTTGTAATATTAACTTGGACCGGTTTGACACAGCTATGATACGTTTCTGTTTTCAAACTTTGCCATGATTCACGTGTCCTTTACGAAACACCTGTCCCAAGCATATGTGGGAAAGACTCGGTAAAAACTGTTCAAATGTCCTCATAGATTTCCCATCTTGATTCTATTTTCTGTTGTATTATTATATAGATTTTGATTTATTACTGATATTTTATTTGTAATATTATATACAGTTTAGCTTCTATATAAATACTCTCTTATTTTATATTCAGCCTCATTTATCTTTCCTAGTTTCCCTCGGATAAGTCTACTTAGTCAAGTTTCAGCAAGCCAACAAATACTGCTACATCCTAGCAGTTAAAACAACTGCTACAACTGTCAACCCTTGCTCCAAGTCTGATGAATCTGACTTGAGCAAACTATCTCTCCAAGTAATTCAGTCAAGAGTGGAATGAGTCAAGAGTTGACCAGTGTTGTTAGCTTAATAGATAGACTGACAATGTGACGTTTGAATTGAAGCTAGCAGTTGTGGCAGACTAAAATGTGGAATGAGTTCAGTTGCGTGACTTCCTACTCAGTCACCTAAGTGGCATCCCCATCTCAATGATTGATTGATTGATATTCCTTGATCTCCAGCCAGATTGAGTGATTCCCATCTCTGTCTGTTCGGGAGTTCAGTTGGCCTTCCTGAACCCACAGACGGTCAGTTTTAACTGTCAGTTAAGACTGACAAATAAAACTGACCGTCTGTATTATTTATTTGTCAGTATGTTTTATTTGTCAGTCTTAACTGACAGTTAAAACTGACCGTCTGTATGCAAGATTGGCCTGACAAAATTTTGTTAAACCAAACTGACAGCAGGCCGAAAGCAGTAACTAGTCAGAATTTTGTGAAACCGGGGGGGGAGTTCCGTGGTTGGGATACTCCGTAATCCTGTAATCCCAAACATGAATGAAGGTAGTCAGGCATTTACATTGTTATCGTACATTTGAGGTTAGGTTTCCAGTTTCTATAGGTTGTAAGTTTTGGCAAACAAACCTTATTGAAGACTGCACCTCACATACCAGGTCGCAGCATATTTTTAACTAGGATATTGCATTGCTTGTAGATTTCCACTGAGGGGGTGTACACTTCTGTGTTATCACTTATCAGCGAGCTCAGGCATGAATAATTCTTTCTTTCTTTCCGAGTAGCCCTAGTACTCCAGTCACTTTGCATGAGTTCCACGTAAAAGCTGACTGGACAGTAATAAGCTCCTTTATGGAAAACTCCAAATAATATACAACTATTTCTTGCAAAGTTAATTTTTATTGACAGTCATAAGTTTCAAGTGAACTTTTGGTTCTTAATGAATCTTGGCTGAAGATATTTTCTGCATGATATTGAGATTAGTCTTTGTAGTACATACAGTACCACATGAAGATAAAGGATTTGATAAAGTAGTTCTTAAACATTACCAAATTTTTAGGTATTATATTATTAACCTCCGCCAAAAGTTCGCAACAAAGGAAATTAAAGGAAAGCACAGTTTATAAACAATAGTTTATTACAGTCAGTCTTAACCGTATAATTGTGACCTGGAATGTATAAAAGAAAACCTGTTGCTTATAATTAATTGGGCTATTGGAGAACCAAAAATAATATCTGAGCTAAAACTAGTATTCAAAAACCGCGTTAAAAATAAAATTATTGAATTTAAAATTCTATAAAAGCATTAAATCTACTGTCATTTATGAGTTGCAGAATAAACCATTTAACATAATTGTGCTCTTTTAGACCATAAATGAAATATAAAATTTAATGGAATTTGAACATCGAGAAAGATATTACAGAACCAAAATGACTCACTGTTTAACCTAATTAACTTATAATATCTACTGTGATCCAAGTTGTACACCTATTTTTCAAATAGAAAGTTCACACTAATTTAAAAATTCACATACAACACTTAGATTTGTTACCATCTCAAATTTTACGTTTCTCTTCAAATCTTAACTTAATTTGATCTAAAAAGAAGTTGAAGAACACACTGTTGAATTCGTAAATGCTCATTATGGTGCGACACTATACCATAACCTTAATCACAGTTCATCATGAGGGATGGGTTCTAACGGCTGTTCAGCTCGGCAGGCCGCAGGAGTCGTAAATGTGAGTCGGTATTCACAGCGGTTAGGTTCTGACGCTGTCGTTACGGCACTCTCTAGCCCACAGATTACGTCCACCTGGTAAGTCATACAGGTATTACTACCACAAATGTACAGTAAAAGGAACACATCTCATCATTCTTAATTGACATTATCTACTAGCTAGACAACTCGTTCTCTTTTAAAAAATTCCATTGAGCAAATATAATGTATATTTGTTTGGTTTTTACCAGTTTGAAAATAATTTGGACATAACACATAATTTTTTACACTATTTAGGAGGGTTCCTTCCCCGGCTGCTATCACGTTAACATGGTCCTACAAAAAAGAACCTCGTTGCAAGTGTTTATTGAGTTGAAATAAACTGTAAAATAACCATAAAGATCCAAAAAGTGTTTACAAAATCATTTTTAAAATCCGTAAATTAAGTCTTCATTGCATGTGATTTTAACTTCTAGATAGTAGCATTGACTATTGGATACAGAAGTTGTTGTATTAATAGTTAATGATAGTTAAAAAATAACTATTCCCCATCCATTGCAAGCTCTGATATGTTAAGAGCACAAAAAACACACAATCATTGGAAACAAATTAGTTTTAGAAAGTTGAGAGCTTTTACAATAGAGGCATTTTCAATCCCGAACTTTATTTCAATCCGTATAATCCGCCATCTTGAATTGAAATTCGGGCTGCCGAGTAGAACCCTCATAAACAAATAATTTGGTCTACAGCTGTATTGAGAAAATAATCCTAAAAAGGATGAAATATTAATATTAATAATACTTCTAAAGCAATACTTGTTACTACTTGTTACTTTACAAGTACAGTAGACCCCCTCTTAACCGACCTCGTATTAACCGATAATCGGATTATCCGCCTTCGATCTTAAAATAATACAGTTTGTTTTAACCGACCTTGCTTTGAGAGCAGCTCGGTTTAACCGCCGCTTTCTAGGAATTTTAGCATTTCCGCTCCCACGCTGGGTGATGAGAACTGAACCATACGCTTATCTCCACAGGATATGACTAACAATAAGTTATTTTGTGTTGATCACAAAAAATATAGCATAGCCTATTGTTAGAAGTTCTCTCTGAATCTCTCTGAATACTATCTACTGCCTGCCATTTGAGGATAAAATCATATGTTATTAATTGTTATGATCTATTTACTTTTTTGTTTACTTTTTATCAGTTTTGTTCTCAACCATGTTAATAAACCATCAATTGTTTTTCATCTCTTTTATTTTGTAAAAACTAATCACTCATACTATCTATCATTAACATTATTGGTCCTAAATCGAGCCGGAACAGCAACATATCAAAACACTTGTATCTATATCACTGAAATTTTATTCATCAAAATTTATTTTATGTCTACCACAATTTGAAAATTCATTATCATTATGGCATCACTGGAATCAAAAATAAAACTCCAAAAATCAAGATTACAACACCAGGTAAATGCTTCAGCCTTTTTCAAAAACAAAGATACATCTACTATAACTAAGGCTCAACTACAAACAAGACTTGAAGTTTTGGAAGCAGACTGGAAAAAGTTTGACAAAGATCACGAAAGGATCTGTGAGTCAAAGCCCGAATTGCTAGAAAATCTCGACTATCTAAATGAAGACCACTACAGCCGCGGAAAAGAAGCTTACCTCATCAACAAATCGGAAATGCTGGACCTCCTTGACTTAGTCTCAACGTCATCTCTCCAAAATGCAAGTATTACAGAAAGTAGTAAATCCAACTCTTTTCTCAGACCAAAATTGCCTCAAATATCTTTGCCACAGTTTGCAGGAGATTATCAATCCTGGAAACCGTTTAGCGATCTTTTCGATTCTTTAGTAATTTCTAATCCTGATTTAACTGATGTAACAAGATTACATTACCTCAAAAATAGCTTGGTAGGCAAGGCTGCTCAGTTGATATCTAGTTTTCAAATCACTGAGGAAAACTTTATTCCAGCTTGGGAAAAACTAGTAGCTAGATTTGAAAACAAACGGGTCTTGATTAACAAACATCTAGATGACATTTTCAATATCCAACCTTTAAAACAAAAATCTGCCAAAGGTCTTAATCATCTGATCTCAACTGTAAATGAGAGTTTGGGCTCACTTAAATCTCTTGGCTCGCCGATCGATCAATGGGATCACATCTTAGTATATCTGACTGTTCATCGTCTAGATCCTAATACACACGAGGCATGGGAGCTTCACCAAGGCGTATCGACGGAACCATCATCGCTGCAAGGCCTACAGACCTTCATCGAGGGACGTGTACGGGCTTTGGAAAATATTGAAGCCAGGGAAGTGTCTCACTCGAGTGGAATGGTAAATCTACCAAAACATCAAGGTAATGCTCAGCATTATCCAAACATCAACACAGCTTTGGTAGCTGAATCTAAACGAAAATATGTATGTAAACTGTGTAGTAATGCTCATTACATAGCATATTGCAAAGAGTTCCATGCTAAAACACCAGATCAAAGGAAAGACTTTTTATTAAGTAACAGGTTATGTTTCAACTGTCTTGGCCCTCATTTGCTCAAAGAATGCCGATCTCAAAAATCATGTGTGAAATGTGGTAATCGCCACCATACATTGATTCATGACGCTGTCAGTAAATCTTTTGATTCATCTAGTCAAATAAAATCAACTTATCAAACCCCAAATCCTCTAAAATCGGAAAGAAAATCATCAAACACACCACAGGTGTCCTTAAATCACTCTCTTCCCACTGGAAATCGACACACAGTTCTTTTAGCTACTGCTCAAGTTAGAGTAATCAGCCCGAAAGGTAATAACATTGTGTGTAGAGCTCTAATCGACCAAGGCTCCGAAATTTCCTTCATCAGCGAGCATCTAGTGCAGACTCTTCACATTGAACGCTCCTCCTCATCATCACTCTCTCTTATCGGTATCGGAGGAAATCAATCATCAACTACTCGTGGATTAGTGTCCATTAACATTGGGAGTACATCTAACGACAAAGTCATCTGTCCGTTAACAGCACATATTCTGCCAAAACTCACGGCTAACTTACCTACTATGACACCAGGTAAATCTAACTGGCATCATATCAAGGAGCTTCAACTAGCTGATCAAGATTTCATGACCCCTGGATCTGTAGATTTGATACTTGGAGCTGATGTTTATGGAAGTATCATTCTTCCTGGACTTATCAAGGGTCCGCCTCTATCTCCTATCGCTCAATCAACCATCTTTGGTTGGGTGTTATCTGGGCCGTGTGGACTTTTCATCAATGACAATAAATCATCAATGTATCATTGCCTACTGGAGAACAAAGTAGATGATTTACTTCAGAAGTTTAGGGAACAGGAGGATTTTGCCAAAGATCCAGTTCAAGTTTTATCTCCTGAAAATCAAATGTGTGCAGAACACTCGCAATCAACACACTCTAGGACTGATAGAGGAAGACATGATGTTAAACCCCCTAAAGGAGTCTGCCACAAATCCGGAATATGACAAACTCATCTGCATGGAAACATTGAAGACCAATAGCAAAATTGTGCTCTCTTCCTGCCACAGAATAAAATTGCCCAGTTCCCTGTTGCAATTTGGGGGGGAGTATGTTAGAAGTTCTCTCTGAATCTCTCTGAATACTATCTACTGCCTGCCATTTGAGGATAAAATCATATGTTATTAATTGTTATGATCTATTTACTTTTTTGTTTACTTTTTATCAGTTTTGTTCTCAACCATGTTAATAAACCATCAATTGTTTTTCATCTCTTTTATTTTGTAAAAACTAATCACTCATACTATCTATCATTAACACCTATTGTCAGTTTGTCATCATTGTTCGTAGCTCGAGCACATCTGATCTGATTTGTTATCTGTGCGGCAAATGTATAACATCATAAAGTGCGTTACGATTTTGAGAATTGATTATCTTATCGCCGGAGTAAACAAACAAAGCAACTTGTCGGGAAGGCAGGGAAGGGGGGTTAACAACTCCAAGGTCAAAATAGTTTTTTTGCCTCGAGCCTCCAGTGAGAGGCTAAATAAATAAACGTCCTGTCTTGTAACAAAATGGTTGCTTGTATCTTTAATGCCGACAAAAGGTTCTGTACTGTATTACGATGTATTTGGAAAGCATCAATTAATACATTACAATAGGTACTAAAAGTTATTAAAATAGGAATTTTATTGACTCTTGCCTAGTATTATAATATATTCCACTGAAAGTAGGCCTATTTGACTTAACCGTGTTTTGTGGTTATTTGTGACTTTTCTATCAATATTTAAAAGGAAATAAGAGTAGTTTATTTTATAAATAATGCAAGTATGACTTCAAAATAATGATTATATAATTCCAAATGAATAGCACTTCATTATGTTCTGATTTGAGGGATTGTCCGTTTTATCCGACCTTTTGAGTTATCCGACCTAGGTCCGGTCCCATTAGGGTCGGTTAAGAGGGGGTCTACTGTACTTGAAATTTATTTAGTAAATTTTCTTTAGAAAACACTAGACATTCAAGATTATTGAGTAAAATATTAGGCAAAACCTTAAAGTAGATTGAGTAACCCTCCTTCAGAAGTGGTGTTATACAAAACAGTTTGACTAGGAATATCAAATGTCTAGGATTCAAAAATTTATCCCAAAGCCTAACACCAAAAATCAACTCAGATCAGTTTATAGCTGGTGAGGAATATCGCACATTCTATCATAGACGAGTTACTCACATATGTGGAGCGCTGAGGCCCGTTCCAACACGACTGGCCCTGGTCGTACATCATAGCGGAGTATTTGTCTCCTGCTCCAGCCCAGCCGCTCCACGAGCCTAGTCTCGTCTCAGCTCCTCCTGACCTAGGCTTCTGACTCACCTGCCAAAGTAAACAAATCTCAAAAAATTCATTTTATGCCCCTTTTCACACGTTCATTACTATCTCTGGAGTAGTTACAGGAGTTGTCTTACTTGTGGCAGCTGCTTCTGGTTTTTAATTTAGGATTATCAGCTAGAAGCTCAGACTTCTATAAACCTCCAAATGTAGGAATTACTTAGCGTCAAATTTGGTGGACATGGAGGCCATAACAATCTGCCATTGAGCCTTTTGTAGAAAACGGCCTGTACAGAAGTCGTGTACATATTCAACCAATCACATATGAGGGCCTAGGCTGTAAGGAATTGTGTTGGGATGGCATACTTACCATGACGGGAAGAAGATACTGGCACAAGAAACATAAACTTTTTGGGTAGTGTCTAGATAACATGTTTCTTTGGCTAGATGCCATTATTTCCCATTGTGGTAAGCTTACTAAGTAAAAAAAAGTGATTGTTGAGGTCAATAATCACTTTAATTCAGTGATGCCTTTATGGTGCCTTGCACCGACAAACAAAACAAAAACTGAGTTGTTCTTTCACTTATTGCATGGTTTATAATTCTTCCAGTTTAATGCAATAAAAATCAAGTACTAAAACCAATTTACATTTTCCACATACATCACATTACTCCTCCATAATCTGCCATTTGATAGTCCGTCATACCCAGCAATCCAGATAATTTATGTATTCAATAAACATTATTTTTCATACTATATAGCTAGGTAGCCGAGTGAGAGTATAATCCTCGCCTCGTAATGAAAAGGTCACCGGTTCGATCCTGAGTAAAGTTGGTAGCTTTTCGATGGTTCAAACTGGACCCAGCTGATTTTGGTAATTCGTCCTGACTAATGAACAGCTGGTCTTAGTTACAAAGCATCTCTTCATTCTACAGTCATATTTAAGTTAAAATACACACCTAGATGGTGTCTACAACCAGTAATAACCTTTGAGGTCGAATTTTTTTCCCATTTTTCAGCGAGTATAGTTTGCCATTTGAGTAGTCGGGAAAATGGTGCCCGGTGACTTATACTCGCCATTTGACTGCAAAGGTAAACTTTTTGATTTTTTATTTTTTTGCGAGTATAGGTCGCCATTTTTGAGCAGTCAGGAAAATGGCGGGCGGCGACCTATACTCACCATTTGACCTCAAAGGGTTAATATTATAAGTTACGTTTTCTTGTCAACCTGCTCATAGGTTAATTTTTGAAATTATTTGCAGTAAACCGTTTTTGGTTAGTTTTCTCCCAGTGTGGTGAATGTCAGATTAACGCCAAACGTATAAAAGAAAACCATAAAGTTTACCAAACCTGGTCAAAAGGACAGAGTTTGTAGGTGTATTCACGATCACTGTACTCGAAGCATTCCCCATCTAAAGCTGAAAAATCGTCCTCAGGTCCATAGTCCTTCTCCAGGCCCTCTTGGAGATGTTTCAGCTCTCGTTCTACGTCCCTCAGGGCTCTCTCGGCACTCTCGAAATCAGCCCTTGCTTTGTCCGCGTCTAAAACAAACATGGGTGATAACATTATTCCCATCTTTCTGCTTAAAACCAAGCTTCTAATTCAGAAGCAGTGTCGTTATGCTTCGTCTAGTTACAGGAAACATGATTATTAACAGTTTTATATCATCAGATGTGGAGATTCTGATTTTAGTCGACACAATTTTAACTGCAGGAAAACCGAGTGTACAATTGGTCAACCAGGAAACAAGACAAAAACTAAATTTAAATTATGTAAAACAAAATTTTCAAATGTTGTAAAAAGGTTAAAATTGCTGTTACTGCCTAGTGATTTTTCTGCTCCTATATTGGACTACGCGTTTCAATGTATATACAACATCAGGTTGCAACTTGAAAAAATTTAAATCATTGTCGAGTTGGTTGTGTCAACGTTTACGTTTCCAAGCAAAGTTGCAACGTGTAATATTTACCATAAATCAGCAGGTTTACAATAAATGTCAACCCCAACACATGATATCAAGATGGCATTGTTGTGTTTGAAGTGTTAACTCACCACCTATCAGACCCTGTGTGGCAGCGTCATATTTCTGTTTTGTCTCGTCTTCCTCCAGATCAACCTGCTCTGCATCATCCTTATGTTCCTTTTCCTCATCTTCTGGTTGTTCCTCTTCCTCTTCTTTTTCCTCCTCTTCTTCTCCCCATTCCTGGTAAAAAGTTTAAAAAATAAGTACATATGGAGTTTTGCTGCTAACGCACAAGAGTTGTTTGGATGAATATTTTTTTCAGATTTCCAAACTGAATAGCCAACTAATAGCCAACTGATAGCCAACCAACCATTTGTTGTAAAGTAGAGAAGTTTAAATTCATTAAAGAAAGGAAATGTTACCTGTTGAAAGTATGTATTACCGATTTTCATAGTGCAGTAAGAGTAAAAAAATATATAGGTACTGACCACATAACTACTAGTTAAGCCTGTAAAGTTGATACTAACTCAACATTGCCATTTTTGATCGAGTCTTTATTCTGTGGTTTGTTAACACAAGTGAACATTTGCAGGAAGTTTTTTTGTTTGAAGAATTCAAATTGATTCACAAAGCCTAAGTTAAATCATGTGAATACAGCTAGTTTAAGTTATCGTTAAGTGATTTTATTGAGACAGGAAATTTTATTACAGCAGTTTCTCTCTTATTCGGGTACCTTTCAACCAGACATCACTTCAAAGGATGGTTGTTGTCAAAGTATTGGTATTCTTTCAACTGGCCACTTATAATAAGATTGGTCGTGAATGGCCGGATTTGAAGATGTATTTGCTTTTGATGGGGAAACTTAAGGATAAGTGTTAGAGCACATAGATTTATTCTGACACATTGTTATCAGGTCCTACTACTCCCAGTTCATAAGTGAGAGGCTACTATACTACATATGCTAAAAATACCAAACAAATTATTTATTTAATCTTACTTCTGGATTTTCTTGATCAGAATTATGCTCTGCGTCATCTTCTTCTTTCTAAAAAAAATCATAAATATTCTTTAGTGAAAATCAAACACATTAGAGGCCTAATTCTATTGAAGAGGATAGGTATATACAGGGTGTCCATAAAAAATGTTTCAGGACTTTGGGAAATGAATCCCCATACTAAAAGGAAGAAAAAAGTTTATGGGAAGGTATGTCCGAAAATGCATATTTACCCAGATATCCGCCATTTTGTTTTTTATACAAAAGTATTTTTATCTGTGAAGTTTTTTATTCGATGATTATGAAATTTGGTAAACATGTTAACATACACAATACCTATAATAAAAAAAATAACAAAGTTGATCAGATCGTAAATTTCAAAATGGCGGCCATATCATTTTTTTTAACTTAATAAATCAAAAACGGCTAATTTTATGAAAAAATGTCAAGGATACTTCTTTTTAGCATTTTTAATTCCCTATCAAACAATACCAAGATCAAAAAGATCGGACAAAAGATAGCTTAAATATAACGTTTTTTATGTAAAAATAAGGCAAAGTTAGGCGGGGAACCCTTAATTTTTGCCTTATTTTTACACAAAAAACGTTGTATTTCAGTTATCTTTTGTCCGATCTTTTTGATCTTGGTATTGTTTGATAGGGAATTAAAAATGCTAAACAAATTATTCTTGAAATTTTTCATAGAATCAGCCGTTTTTGAGTTATTTAAGTTTAAAAAAATTAAATGCCCGCCATTTTGAAATTTACGATTGGATCAACTTTGTTATTTTTTCTATTAAAGGTATTGTGTATGTTAACATGTTTACCTAATTTCATAATCATCGAATAAAAAACTTCACAGATAAAAATATTTTTGTATAAAAAACAAAATGGCGGATATCTGGGTAAATATGCATTTTCGGACATACCTTCCCATAAACTTTTTTCTTCCTTTTAGTTTGGGGATTCACTTCCCAAAGTCCTGAAACGTTTTTTATGGGCACCCTGTATAGGAATATAGGTATATATAGGAGGATAGGAATGTATAGTAGAAAATGTTTTATAATAGATTTTTAAGAATTTCAATGTTTACATGATTACACACTTTTTGTAGTAATAATAGGTGGTAGTGGTATAGCTTCCACTCGCTACTTCCACCATTTGTGGCACCTCTTAAATCAGTTCGTCAACCTAAGGCTCTTAGCGAATCCCAACATCTGTAGAACACCTGTTTCTCTTTAGCCACACCTTATTGGATCAACATGCTTACCTGAAGGATAAAATTGTTGATAAACTATCCACACAAAACACAACACTATGTTGCCTTGGACCATGAAATATCTTTTGTTTTGCTAAAAAAAAGTGAACATATTTCTTGCAAAGTGTACAGTCTCATGCAAAAGGACATCCTAGAATCATCACCTGTTCCGATGGAGGCTGGAAGAGCCCTTTCTCCATCATGAAGAACGGTTTCATACGAGGATAAACTTCAGCCAAGAAGTGATCCCAATCCGCTTCTTCAACGATTCCCAGGAAAAACTAAAACATTCACCAAGATTACTCTAATATAATGTAGGGAGGATCACACTCTATGGTCCAACTATAGCTTACAGTACATTATTTTTCTGCTAACTGGATTTAAGCTATTGCCTGTTCCCTTTATGAAGCCCAGGAGTGTTTTCCCAATAACAATGTTTGCTCTGTTTCCTGCCTTCTTCTCCTTCAATCACCTTACTCTAAGTATTCAGCAAGCTCAATCTTTGTCATTGAATCATAATTGTTCAACATTTTTGCTAATCATAATTGTTTGTATATATCACTCTCCTGCAGGGGATGAACTTATATTTCTGAATAATCTGGAGCTACTACTGATCCACCTGAGTAAATTGAAGATGAATATTGTTATTGGTGGCGATGTAAACTCAAGATTTGATGTTACCCGAGATCAGCCTAGTGTTAGAAGATTACTTAACCTACTCAGGCAATTTGATTGTGTTTACTTAAATGTAGGGATGGACGGGTCCCGAAATTTCGGGAATTTTTCGGGAAAAAAATATTCCCGATTATCGTGACGGGATTACATTTGACTCGGGAATTTTTCGGGACGGGATTTGGTCCGATCGTCGGCGATTTTTCCGCTTCGCGAGTGCCAATAACGCCGTTATTGCGAGCGATAGGTCCGCGAACGCAGGAGACGAAGTCATACCGACGATCGCGCCGTGACCGCGGAGTCCTACCGACGATCGCGCCGTGACCGCGAGTCATACCGACGATCGCGCCGTGACCGCGAGTCATACCGACGATCGCGCCGTGACCGCGAGTCATACCGACGATAACCCCGTGACCGCGGAGCCATACCGACGATCGTGCCGTGACCGCGAGTCATACCGACGATCGCGCCGTGACCGCGAGTCATACCGACGACCGAGCCGTGATCGCGAGTCATACCGACGATCTTGCCGTGACCGCGAGTCATACCGACGATAACCCCGTGACCGCGGAGTCATACCGACGATCGCGCCATGACCACGGAGTCCTACCGACGATCGTGCCGTGACCGCGAGTCATGACGACGACCGCGCCGTGACCGCGAGTCATGACGACAATCGCGCCGTGACCGCGAGTCATGACGACGATCGCGCCGTGACCGCGAGTCATGACGACGATCGCGCCGTCGGCCGTGACCGCGAGTCATGACGACGATCGCGCCATAATCGCGGAGTCATGCTGACGATCGAGCCGTGATCGCGAGTCATACCAACGATCATGCCGTGACCGCGAGTCATACCGACGATAACCCCGTGACCGCGGAGTCATACCGACGATAACCCCGTGACCGCGAGTCATACCGACGATAACCCCGTGACCGCGAGTCATACCGACGATAACCCCGTGACCGCGGAGTCATACCGACGATCGCGCCGTGACCGCGAGTCGCGAGTCATGACGACGATCGCGCCGTGACTGTGAGTCATACAGACGATCACCCCGTGATCCGCCAGTTACAAGTTACTATAGGTACCTGTAAATTGTTACCCATTTTTTTGTTTTTATAGATCAGTGCCACAAATGGTAAAAATTGATTTCGTATGTCTTTTTGGTAACTGCAATACAGTACTTTCTTTTCATGCACAGAAAAAAATCCCGTCTCGTCCCGTCCCGAAAATTGGGAAGGAAATAAAAATCCCGTCCCGTCCCGTCCCGAACTAAAAATTCAATCCCGTCCATCCCTACTTAAATGACAAGCCTACTCGCAAAAAAGCTTGTCTGGACAATATTTTTACAAATGTCCCGATCAACTCCTGCTCCACACACATCGTTCACCCTGACATAGCTGATCACGAAGGCCTGGAGTTGAGGCTAATAACGGCATCAGAAGCTGCTAAACCATATATTGAGGAAATTATGCACCGCAGTCTTTCCCCAAGGTGCTTAAACAACCTTAAAGCTGAACTGGGGAATGTGAACTGGCCTAACATCCTGAACAGTAACCGTGCGGCCGATCAGTCAGCAGAAGAGACTTTCAATTTATTTTTTAACAAGCTGATTGATATTTTCAACTTAACTTGTCCTGTTAGTTACCTAACCGCAAAGAAGATTTCCGGACGTAAGGACAATAGGCCTAAAAGTGGAGTGGCCTGGTATAGTGATGACCTCAAGAAACTTAAGGAAACAGTTATGGCTTACCGTACTGTCTACATGAACCTTAGAACTGATGCCTCGTACAGTGCCTACAAAGAACTTAGAAACCTCTATAAAAACGTTGCGAACAGAGCAAAATTAGCCGCAAATGCGGACTTCATTGAGCGATCAGCAAACAAATGCCAAGCAGCGTGGACGATAGTAAGGCGAGTTTCTGGAGAGAAGAAGGAGGTCAGCAACAACCATTCTGCCGAGGACTTCAATAGATTCTTCATCGACTCCGTAAACGATGTTCGAGCCAGCATTCCTGTGAGTCCCCTGCCTGCGGATCACTTCCTGCAGCAAGTGAAGAGGCCCAGCACCCAACTTGAGTGGAATGAAGTGTCATGTGATGATGTGCTCAGTGCAGTGTCAAAAATGAAATCCTCAAAAAGCAAAGATGTGTATGGTCTCACAAGCAATATTGTTAAACACATTATCTTTGAAATAGTAATGCCCCTTGTCTTTTGTATCAACCTATGTCTGAAAGAAGGTGTTTTCCCAACCTCCCAAAAAATTTCTCGAGTCGTCACAATTTTCAAAAAAGGGGAAAAATCACAGATTAAAAATTATCGTCCTATTTCTCTGGTCCCTATAATTGGCAAGATCATTGAAGCTGTCATCAAACCTCAGGTATGTTCTTTTTTTGACACAAACAAAATTTTTTCAAATTTTCAATTTGGTTTTTGTAAAAGTTTGTCTACCGTGGATGCCCTGGACCACCTTGTTTCTAAGATTTTGAGAGCTTTTGAGGAGTCGAGCTTTGCTCAGATCACAGCTTGTGATCTGAGTAAAGCATTTGACTGTATTGATCACAACATACTCATCACTAAGCTGGAGTACTATGGCATCCGCGGTATACAGCTTAAGTTTTTTGATTCATACCTGAGAGAGAGAACTCAATTCGTTGATGCAGGAGGCAAGATGTCAAGCTGCTTGAAAGTTAGCTCAGGTGTGCCACAAGGCTCGATTATAGGCCCCCTCCTTTTTATCACAGTCATCAATGACCTACCAGCCAATATTAAAAGATCCTCTACCATCATGTTTGCGGACGACACCAATTTTTTGAGTGTTCATCCCAACTTTTATGATCTTATGTCAGTAACTGAGCTCACAACTGATTCAGCTTATATGTGGTTTAATGCTAATAGCCTTTGTCTTAATAAGAATAAAACTCAAAATCTATTGTGTAGTCTTAAAAACATTCCAGTAGAGTCACAAGATGTAAACAATGAAAATGTAATTACAGTTTTAGGAATAAAAATTGATAAATGTTTAAGCTGGTCTCCTCAGATAGATTTGGTTTGTGCAAGATTGTCCAGAGTAATCTGTTTGCTTAGAAATCTTATGGGTGTTGTACCTGAAACCTACATAAGGGTAGCCTACTTTGCATTTTTCCAATCCATAATTAGCTACGGCTTGATTCTTTGGGGAAACAGTAGTCACATAAGTGAAGTGTTAATACTACAAAAGAAGGTAGTTAGAATAATAAACAAAGCTCCAATTGAAGAGCATTGCAAGCCATTGTTCATAAGAAGTAGAATATTGACTGTGATTAATCTGTACATATTTATGTGTTTACTTAGGGTTAAGAAAAATACTAGTTCCCATGTTTATAGGTTTAATATCCATTCACACAACACACGTAATCAGTTCCTATTAGACGTGCCTTATTGTAGGTTAAGTAAATGTAAAAATAGTTACCATGTTATTTCATTAAGATTATTTAATAAGCTTAGCATCAATGCCAAAGAATTGGACCTTAAGTCATTTAAAAAAAGGGCTCAGGATTGGTTACTTTTAAATCCTTTTTATGACTTAGAAGAATATTTTAAGGTTGACGAAGTTAACTTTTAATGTCCTCACATTTCCACATTGTTTTTTATTTGTAAGCATATGTATAAGTATAGCCTATTTTGACTTGTTTTTAGGCTTGTTTTGTTTTGCCTAAAATAGGCTGTTTATGTAATAGCTGAATTTTCTTGACTTTTGTCTATTGCATTTGTTGTAAATGTTGAAGGACAATAAAACGTTTCTGATTTCTGATTTCTGATTGACTCACAGAACTGTTGGCAAAGCGAACACACCTTACCGAGTTTGTTTCCAAAGGTACAGGGATGTTTCCAAACATGATCCTAATTTAGATTTTCAAACTTTAGGTACCTTGACTTCGTCTTCCGACACCACACCATCTTTGTTCTGATCAAATGTCTGCCTCGCTTCCAGTTCGGCTGCTGTAATCCTGAAAATGTTCCATAATATAGTTGTATTAAAGACTATTCAGCGTATGAGATTAGTAGGGCACAACTAAACACACACACAGCCAAAACAACCTTCATCTTCATTAACTGTTGCTCAAATACTGAATCAAACTGACGAAAAACCAAACTGGCCAAATCAACTTCACCACCATTTGAAATTTCCTGATTCCAAAAACAAACTAAATTGAATACCTCAAAGTCGTAGGCTCAAAATTATCAAGGAGGGCGCTTTAGATGTCTTTGCAAGAAACTTGACTCAGAATTCTATATCAAGTGATTAACTAATTAGTTAATTCCAGAGCAGTGTCTACCACACAAATAAAACCTTCTTAAAAAGTATCATTCAGTCTCATTCTCATTTCACAAATGCTGTTAATTTAACCTGCATAATATGCCTTGGAATGTTTGTTACAGACTAAGACCAGGTGTTTCCTATTTGTTAGTATTGGCATTTCTATGTTTTTTTTTTTGGTTTCTTTTATAAGGCAACTTTCCAAACCCTGGTGTTGTTAATAACACCATCAATTGTTAGGTAGCATCAATAATTGATATCCCAATGAAATCATTGCATCTGGATTCAGAATCAATATAATTTCGAATTGAACCAGCGACTCTCAGATTTGAAGGTGACTAATATTTTTTATATTTAAATCTCTGTAATGTTTGACGCCTATTCTATGCTCTATGTTCAAAAATAAAGTATTCTGATTCTAAATTATCAAGGGCAGCTAGTTCAACTTTCTAACCACCAAAGCTATTTTACTGAAGTAAAATCTCAAACATGCTTCAAACTTTATCAAACATTACAACTGGGTAAATAAATAGACAATAGCCTTAATTGAAAAATAATCAATCCACCTACTTGCCGTCCTGATTCGAGTCTATGAGTTGGAAGTGTTCAAACGCTTCTTGTTGTTCCTGCGCCTTCTCCTCTTCTTGTTTCTTCTCTCTCTCGGCTTCCTCCACCAGTCTGTATGCTTCCAACGCAACTGATTCAGCCGCTTCTGCTTCCTAAAGGAGAGGGTTCTTTCTTTAGAGTAGTTAAAAAAACTGTATTAGCCTAAGTACATATTTGTTTAGATATTGTGTTGACTTTTGTTAAGCTGGCAAAGACAGATAACTTAATGAATAGGCCATGCATTTGGCATAGACTACCGAAAGTACAAACATGCAAAAGCAGAATATCTTCTCTTTAACATAAATTTTCTTAAAAAAACCGGGGTCAAAATTTTCCTTACCTCATAAACCCAAAGCGGTTTATAGACGGGGACGTAGAGAACGGACAGTTAGCGTCTGCAAGTGCCTGTTGCACTTACCACATACTTGGAATTATAGGGTGCCTTAACTTTGCAGTAGGGTACCTACTTTTCTTAGTAAATACTAAGTGAGTGCTACTACCATGTACTTGCAGCCAGAAAATTTGCGACTTTACATTCCTTTAAGGCCTAATTTGCTTATATTTTTTCACCTAATTAATCACAGAGTGCTATTGATATTTCAGAAAAATCAAGAAATTGAACTTACTCTTCAGGAACATTAGGACCAAGTGAAGACAAGTAACTGTACTGTAAAATCAAAATTAATTACAACCTCATTTTAATTTAAAAGAAGTTAGTGGCCTCTTTAACGCTAGCATTGGCCCATCCACAAGGACCTCTAGTCTGTGGGTGGAACGTATCAAGTATGGCAAGGGGTGAGTCAATATAATACAAGAGTGAGTACTGATATGTTAGTCGCATCTCTAGTGTGACGGGTAGTCACCAAAAATTATTTTCTAAATTTTGGGATTATATTTCAAAAGTAAAAGACCTGGTAAATGGATTTCACAATGCATATACCAGTGTCAGAACATTGGCATTTAGTAGACAGAATTCTTGATGACACGTAGCTTGCTCAATCGACCGACCCACAAAAACCGTAGACTTAGCAATTGTACTTTGGAGAGACTGAGGTCGGAGTTGACCGGAAGGAAGACACTTGGCCCCAGTAATATCACGGGGACACTTCGCCGGTCTCCGGGTTTTTGGTAAGGCGATTACTTTATTAATATTTAACTTTATAATTTTTGTGATTGTCCAGGCTAACTTACCTTTTTAAAGTCAGTGATTGATTGATGTTAATCGTAATCATTTTTATAATAATTGATTTCATTTATAATTTGTGTGAATAAATATAGTTACTATTAAATTCCTGTTTGAATATAATAACGTGTCAAAAAGAATTATAATTATTAGAGTTTTATATAAATTTCATTTGCTTAGGCCTACTTAAATAAAAGGAGCCTGTAATTATTTTATCATCCATTTTTATTATTGTCTTTATTATTATCTTTATCATATTGTCCACCCATTTTATTTGAATAGTGATTAAACATTCTTTTACCTCACACTAAAGTATTCTTATTATTTTAAATCGATCCCGGTTACGCCCCCGGTCACAATTCCAATCGTGGCAAATGGTGGAGACAGCCGTGTCTTAAGTTTTTACTTAAGAATAGTTTTTTTGTGTACATCAATAATTTCTTTTGTTTGAGTTACATCTTATATGTCTATAATTGTTAGGCCTTTGTTATTATTACCTGGACAATCGTATGTTTTTGTGCATGCTAGAAAGTAAGTAATTTCTATTTAGTGTTGTGTTTTATAAAAGTATTATCTATTTTTGATTTTGGGCGCGTGATAAGCGATTTAAGCCGTTTGATATACCCTCGTTGAGAATAAATAGCTTGACGACAGTGAGCTGCAGCTCATGCTTAATTCTCGTTGTTAGGCCTCTGTATTAATCTAGTTTTAAAAATTTTAGCCACTCTTTCGTTTTATACATCTTTTACCAAGTATTAGGGCTCGATTATAATTATTATTTTATTAGCTTATTTACACGAATATTTTTGTTTTGTATTATTTGAAGATTGCTTATGCGTGTTATTTAAATGACGATTGATAACATGAACGCTGTCTAAAGTTGAATTTTATATCTGTTTATGTCTTTTATTTTGTACCTATTGATAGGATGCGATAGGCTTCTATAGCGAGTTAAAAATTAGTAATGTGTTTCTTTAACGTAGGAATGTGTGGATTGATTTTGTTACATTAGCTCTGTGAATTATTTTATTTAGATAATTTTTTCATGTCATATAACAAAACTATGTGTAATGGCGAGTAATGGACGCACTAAGTTTGTCAGACATTAAAAGCTCTAATAGAAAGGAGGTATTAAACTGGTATAAAAATTTAGGGCTAACTTATCCGGTAGACGCTGATCTAGACTATTTAAGAGGGAATCTTAGATTGTTAAAACTGAAGCACGATCAAGATTCCAAACTTACTTTGTATAGTTCACCAAGTGAGTTTCAAACTTATGATTCAGTTAATGAGTATCATAATGAGATAACTTTGGATAATAGACAACTTCCATCTACCGCTAACCCCGCCCCCGTATATCAAAATACCGACATCCAGACCTTAGGTGCCGGCTCGGGATCGCATACCGTCGACCAGACCAACAGTTCACTTCATACGCTTGAACCTTCAGAAGCCGTCACTATGAATAGAGAAAAATCTCCTTTTTATCAACCTGGAAATTTCACGGGAAAAGCTGGTCAGGATATTCACATATTTTTTAACAAATTTGAGCGCGCATCCAAGATAAACGCATGGGATGATAATAAAAAGGTCTTATATCTTCCCATGTATCTAGAAAACGCTGCACTAAGTTTTTTTGAAAATCTTGAAGTTAAAAACCCTCAGGCTACCTATGAAGCTTACAAAACTGCTTTCTTATCGAATTTTGCACCGGTTGAAAGCAAAGAACTGCTTATGCTAGAGCTAAACTCACGCGTCCAACAACCTAATGAAACGGTAGCAGAATATACTGCTGACGTTGAAAAATCTGCCGGCTGGTCGACTCGACAATGGACGAGTCTAAAATCTGCGGTCATATTCTAAAGGGGTTAAATCCTGCGATCTTACAGCAAATTTCTATTTTGGATAATACCACTCTAGGATTGTTAATGGCGAACATTGCTAAATTTGAGCATGGCAATTACTTGTTAAGGCGTAGATTTGGGGTATTGGAGCCTAAGCAATCCAATCATGCTGATATTGAAGCCAAATTAAATTCTCTTACTGAAATGGTGCACGAGATACACGTTTCTGCTAAAACCGACAGAGTTGAACGCTATGGTAAAGATAGAGTCGACAACAGATCTCAAGACGACAGCAGGCGGTCTCGTAGGGATATCTCGCCCTATACTCCACATAGCTCTCGTAGTTTACCACGTCATGAAGAAAATAGGTCGTCTAGTTCCCAAAAGTATCACCGATCACCTGCCAGATCACCATACCGCGAGGAGAATAGGAGACCAAGTTATCGCCATTCCCCCGCCCGAACCAGCTATAATAGTCGAGATGAAAGAGGACGTAGTCCTTACCGATCTGAAAGCCCTTACCACAAATCACGTTCTTATACTCAGCTTAATTCGTATAGTGATCGTGACCGATACCCCCGCAGGGAAAATGTACATTATGGGGGTCGACCTGGTAAACAGGTGCATTTCTCTAACTTCCCCAGTCAGCCTTGTAGGAATTGTCATAACATGGGACATTTCACTGTTGACTGCCGTGCCCCTCGTTATCAAAAAAACTAACTAGGCCGGGGGATAATGAACCTCCCCCCGCTGGCCAAATACCTCGGAAGTTTAACGACAGTGTACATAGCATAGATAATGATGAGTGTAACATTTACAATCCATGCGTGCAAAAGCAATATCAGCAAAAGCATGTAAGGTTCCTTTCTGACTTTACAAAACAAATGAAAGCGGAAAGTGTTTGCAGCTCAGTTGTTACTCGGGGAATCAAGAAAAGATATCCTTTGCACGTGAACGGATTAATGGAGGGCGGTGAAGTAGCTATACTCTTAGATTCTGGAGCTAATATTTCATGTGTAAATAGCAAGGAGCTCAGGGAATCAAAATATATTATCAAGCCAACTAACGCACTCCTCACTACGGCGGGGAAAACCCATTTAAATGTGTTAGGTGAAGCAGAAGTGGAATTTCGCATAGACTCTAAGTGTTTTGTACATAACGTGTTTGTAGTAGAGGAACTAAATTGTTCTTTACTGCTAGGAAATGATTTCTTGTCTCAGTATTGTACAGTACTCGATTATGATAAGCGAACAGTTACGTTCTCGTGCCAGGGTCAACGTACAGAGTTGCCGATGCTAGGTAACTGGACACGCACTTCAGCGCGCAATGATGAGTCAGCCGCTACACGTAGTGCCCCAGTACAAATAGTCTCAGTCGATTTATTAGATGCTTCCCAAAACTTTACACTAGATGCATCCAACGTGACTCATAATTTTGAAACACTTTTCCACGAGCCCGATCCCCAAAACGTGACTTTAAGCCCAATTTCTAATGGTGTCTCTGATTTTGTAGAATCTGATATTCTAACGATAGTACCTAAATCGGACCCTCTACCTCCTAACTTCTCAGGAAGTATAACTGATAGTGGCGGGAACAAAATAGATATAAACCCACAGTTAACGCCTTCTCAATTCAAATTAGCACAGGAGCTAATAAATTCTTACAGGGACGTGTTTGCTAAGGACGATACAGACTTGGAGGAAGCAAATATTCCCCCGTACGAGATAAGAGTTAAGTCCGATGAACCCGTAGCCCTACCTCCCTATCGGTTAGGCCCCAAAGAAAGGGAGGAATTAGATAGACAGGTGGACGGTTTATTAGAAGCTGGTGTTATTGAACACTGTCAGAGCCAGTATGCGGCACCTACTTTCATGGTGAAGAAACCTGGGGGGAAGTTTCGTTTAGTACATAATTATAAGAAAATTAACGAACTAATAGTGGATGACAAATATCCTCTCCCCCGGATAGATACTATCCTTGAGACCTTGGAAGGTGCGTCATTCTATTCTCAAATGGACGTAAATCAGGCATTTTTTCAACAGCCAATAGCCCCCGAGCATAGGGATTATACAACTTTCATAACCCA